CAGTATTCTTTTCTTTTTTTTTTTACGTAGAACCATTCGCCATCGGGTTTCACCGGTTGTTTGTACTTTCTGCTGGCGTTTCCTCGATTTGACTATTCCTACGCCACTGGATAATCCGCTGCAGGATCCTTTGTGGCCATTCCCGGTAACTTCTCGAATTTACCGAAGTTCTGTCGCGCTTTCTCTGCACGAGAATCGGCGGTTTGGATTACTCGCGCTGCTTCGTCGATTAAAACTGATGTTCCCGCGGCGTCGGACCACTTCGCGAAGTTCCAACATTCTTTTGCAACCCGCTTACTTGTTCCTTTATGTTACCGGAGTTGCTATCAACCGGAGTCGCGATCAAACGAAACGACCGCGACGTCCAACACGCTCATGTTTGTTTTCGCGAACTATTGTACGCGCTGGTCTGTGGCGACCGTAAGACGAGAATTTACGTTTATTTAATTTACGTTTTCGATTAACCTTTGCGTATGCCTTCATTTTTTGAAACACGAATCGAGACTGATAACTCGAATAATAAAGCAGACCTAAGCCTGACCTATCTCAAACCTAACCGAACGAAATGGCAACAATGTGACATTTTTAAATTCGCATCGCATTGAATTCACGATCTGCTCGATCACGATATCTCTTCAATTTTGTTTGCGAATATCTGAAATATTGAAAGATAGCGTCTAAGAAAGATATTTAAAGTCTATTATTAGTTTAAAGTCTATTATTAATTAAAGTCTATTATATCTGGCGTCTATTAAAAGATAGCGTCGCGAAGAAAAAGTTACTAAAAAGCGACGACCACGATGAACATAAATTCAAGGTCATTTAAATCAGAGGTGGCTGCCACACTCGCAGATTCACCCGAAACTGTTTGATAAAATCGTGCAGCGTAGAATTGATTAAAAGCTTCGTATCATTTGATTTCATTTGGTCCGTTCGTGAAAAGGATGCTGTCACACTTTCGCCGTAACATTTGCAAATATATTCGAACTGATTTTCTCATTAATTCTCATGAAACGTTACGTAGTGCGAATATTCTAAAATTGGTGCACCACTACGGATATTGAATGTAAAATTAAATTCTCGCCGCTCGAACGGTAAAAGCCGGTTAGCATCGGACATTTCAAGAACTGCAACTTCCAGCGTTCCACTATGATCGATAAACCTGAGCGTGTTGAAGCGTCGAAATACAAGAGCGGCAACAGAATTTTCGATACAGGTTTTACACTGAAAATTGATCTATTTGCCGATCATATTCACCTTACTCGACTCGAAAAATTCATCCTTTCGCGGACTATATTTATCTTTCTTTCGCACTCGAAATTAATTGTTACGTTACATTCCATTTCTTTTTCCATTCGAAATTAACTCTTCTACGTAGATTGTATTCACTCTTTGAAGCAAAAGAATTTTCTTGCGAATAAAATTTTTAAAAAATCTCTTGCAGATTCTATTCACGGTTTTAAAAGCGAATTAAATTCATTCTTTGCAAATAAAATGAATCCGTTCACAGAACGAAATAGGTCATCTTTTATTCGATTTATAAAAATACGAACTTGTTTTATAATTATTTATAATTATATCTTATATTATATTATTATATTATATTATTAAGATATAATTATATCTTATATTATATTATTATATTATATTATTAAGATATAATTATATCTTATATTTATATCTTCAAGAAGTATTCATAGAACGTTTTTCTAGCTTAGACGAATTTCATTACAAATAATTTCATTTGAAAACCGGAGAATAAGTTCGGCAAAAGGGTTAATTCAATTCGCAAACAAATGAGTATGACGCGAAGAAAAAAACGATTAATTTCATATGCACAAGATAAACACGATATACGAAAGGATTCCTTCTCATTGCATAAGGTCAATACGACGCGCAAACGGATCACTTTCGTGTGCATTTTTTGCGCGCGAAGTTGAAAGGATCGATTCCATTTTCGATCTACGAAAAGNTATAATTATATCTTATATTATATTATTATATTATATTATTAAGATATAATTATATCTTATATTATATTATTATATTATATTATTAAGATATAATTATATCTTATATTATATTATTATATTATATTATTAAGATATAATTATATCTTATATTTATATCTTCAAGAAGTATTCATAGAACGTTTTTCTAGCTTAGACGAATTTCATTACAAATAATTTCATTTGAAAACCGGAGAATAAGTTCGGCAAAAGGGTTAATTCAATTCGCAAACAAATGAGTATGACGCGAAGAAAAAAACGATTAATTTCATATGCACAAGATAAACACGATATACGAAAGGATTCCTTCTCATTGCATAAGGTCAATACGACGCGCAAACGGATCACTTTCGTGTGCATTTTTTGCGCGCGAAGTTGAAAGGATCGATTCCATTTTCGATCTACGAAAAGATTCACTTTTAAACACGCGAAGAAGAGTATCCTCCAGAAGATGATTTCTCGTGTGAAACCTGCAACGATCGGAATGTGACGAAGTTTCCAGTGACGTCAGTTTTCGGGCGACGAACGCTTGTTGCTCGCGGTTCGCGGGCATATTCCGCGTGCTCGAGCGGCGACCAGCGATTTCATGTTTGCTGTTCTTGGCCGCGCGGCAAACAAGCGCAATGCACACGGAGCTCGCCGCTCCGTAAACCTAATGCTGAAACATTCTGCGTGAAGGTAAATTTAGCGGCACGCGTCGAACACGCCGGGACATTGTGCACACACGAGTCGTTATTAAATACACGATATAACCTCGGGTTTAGGGGAGCGGGAGACACGGATAAGAGAAGAGGGTGGGACCTGTCACGACCGAGGGTTCGCTCGTTCGCTGACATCGCGCACGTCAGCGCGTCGTCTCGTCGAGCGTTCTTCGATCTCTCGATCACGCACGGCGCGCTGCTTCGAGACTATTCTCTGATCTCTCCGCTGGTTCGAATCATTCTTGCAGACTGTGTCTGGAAAGTTTCCGCGATGCGCTCGGCAAACGTACCGTGGGCCCGGGCTGAATTCTGTTGCAGGTGACTGGAATTGTTCACGCATCGGCCTGTTCAATTACTTTCGCGCTTTCAAGGCTGCCGTATTCAACTTTAGGATCTCGAATTAATCTTTTGTCCGGGTCTGTTCTCTGAAAGGTCGAACACTGTCGAGTCTCGTAAGTGGATTGCGGATTTTTATGGAACGTAAAAACGTCCCTTCTCGTTCGCGACAAATCGAAGGTAAATACGAACAGTGGAGCATCGATCATCCGAATTCGAGATAGGTGATTTCTTTTTATTTTCGACGAATTATTAAGACGATAGCGCAAGATGATAGGTCGAGGTTTAACACTTTAACGCACAGTTTTTTTCTTTTTTAAACTGGCCAAAAAGAATCAATTTTTTGGTGGAGAATTTTGATATACTGCGCTTTTGTTCCATGGAAAAAGGCTATATTTTATTCTTGAATAAATAAGTGTTATAGCTTACAATCCCATGTAAATGATAAATATCAATAAAGCGATTTTTCTTCTTTGCTTTCACATTATTATTTTCAATTCTCGATTATATTCGAGTGTGAAAAATTATAGCAGCATAAAATACAACGCCGCTCGAGTTTTCTCGAGTGTGCACAGTTTCGCCTGTTTAGCGCGCCCGAATTAACTCGAGCGTACAAGTTAAGGAATTAATCGAGGTTTTTTAATGGTTTTTATGGTTTCGTTATTACTTGGAATAATCAACAATCTAAATAGTAAAGATCGGGGAAAATCCAGTACGATTAATCGAGGTTCTACTGTGTTTTTTTATTTAACATTAGGTTTACGGAGCCCGTCGAAATAACGGGTAATTTTTAATTTATTATTATATTAATGCAACATATATGTTATCTGCAATAAATATTACGATAACACTTGTACAAAATCAGAACAAATGTCTTACTGTTATTTCTATAAATTAATATAAAACAGCTGTTTTCAGTGCTCCGTGAATCTAGTGCTAATAATTCGAATAAATCGGAAACAGTGTAACAATGCTGACAAATTTATCTAATGACATCGCAGTTTCGTATTTAACCTTACGATTTTTGTCGCAAACTCGTCAAATTCGCAATCGACTTCCACGATCAATGACTATTAAAAACAACTGTGTTTCCAAATGGTTTCCCATACGATAAACTAGAAACAATTTACAAGCATGCAAAGTATGCAACGGAGATCAACACCCAAATATCCTCCTTAAAATTGAGACTAAACGAGACTGTACAAAAATAGTACAGTAATGTCTCCCTAACTGACCCTCAGATTGCGCACAAAAATGGACAATTCGGGAACAGAAGATACGATTATTCGAGCCTTGCAGCTCGCTTCTATAGTTCTCGATAATTCGTAACTATAAAAACGAATCGCTCCTCTTCCCAAATTGTCCATTTTCGTGGACAATCTGAGCGTCAGTTAGACAGACATTACTGTGCTCTACTCGGAGCACCGCAAACAACGAAACGAATCAATGTAATCTGTCGAGTGCGTTCAAGATTCGCAGGTGATCGATGCTCTTTTGTTAAAATGGTTCTCGACCGCAGTGCTCGAGCTTTCGGTTCGGCACGTGACGCTAATTGAGAACGAATCTCGAGTTAACGGCAACGTAGACCAAGCTTCGGGCCAAATCGTGTAACAAAGCAGAAAACGCTGAAACAGCTGACGCGAGGCTCCAGTCACTGGCAACAGAAGGATTAGGTAACGGCGAACACCTTCGATCAGCCGTGGATGAGTACGTTCGAGAGCGGTAACGACAGCGATCGTAAGACCCGACGGGTGCTGGATCGTCGTCGAGACGGTTTCGAAACTTTCCGGGCACAATTTGCCGAGCATAGAGAGGCAAACAAGTATATCCAAGGTTAGTGTCATACGTGAGCGACAGAGAGTCTCCGGGCGGACTCGAGAAATTTGTTCGGCCTGGCCCGCAAAGCCTGCAAAATACCTGTATCGGAAAATATTTGTCTTCTCTGGCCACTCACCTAGGACCCGCACTTCGACCGACCGTTGGGAGGTGATGTTATGCTTGTCCCTGGCGGTGCAGGTGTACGTGCCCTGATCCGCGTCCGATTGCACGTTATCGATGGACAGACTGCCGTTCGCCACTCGCTGTCTCATGTTGGTGGGCAGCCTCACTCCGTCTGACAACAACGACAATAATGCTTTAGTATATGGGAACGCACGGCGCGGCGCCGATCGATCTAAATTGCAGGGAAAATAAGGACCGTTCCGGCGCACGAGCGGAACAACCGCTTCCCGTTCCTAATTTTCGCGACGTCGAGCGAACGTTAATACGGCCGCCGCGTTAATTTCCATAGTCGGGAACGAAGCTAGTCGCCATAACCGACGCACAATGGTCCAAAAAGTCCAAAAAGCTGAAATACGATTTTTCAAATCTTGCGCGAGATGAAATATTTTAGTACGTGGTGTTGAAATGGAGGGATAACAGTATCCTAGCATTACTTTTGTTATTTATGTGCTCGCGTAGCGTTGTTCTGCATTGAAAGTAAAGATTTTTCTACTATTCATTCTTTTCTTCGCACATTTTTGAAATATCGCTCGATTGTTAGAATCGTTTATACAGGGTGTCCCAAAAATGTCTCGCGAACCGAAAGCGGCGGGTTCCTCGGGTTATTTGAAGCAACTTTTTCCCTGTCTCTTATACACATCTAGAGGTGTATAAGAGACAGGGGTGTCCCAAAAATGTCTCGCAATCCGAAAGCGGCGGGTTCCTCGGGTTATTTGCTGTCTCTTATACACATCTAGAGGTGTATAAGAGACAGGGGTGTCCCAAAAATGTCTCGCAATCCGAAAGCGGCGGGTTCCTCGGGTTATTTGCTGTCTCTTATACACATCTAGAGGTGTATAAGAGACAGGGGTGTCCCAAAAATGTCTCGCAATCCGAAAGCGGCGGGTTCCTCGGGTTATTTGCTGTCTCTTATACACATCTAGAGGTGTATAAGAGACAGGGGTGTCCCAAAAATGTCTCGCAATCCGAAAGCGGCGGGTTCCTCGGGTTATTTGCTGTCTCTTATACACATCTAGAGGTGTATAAGAGACAGGGGTGTCCCAAAAATGTCTCGCAATCCGAAAGCGGCGGGTTCCTCGGGTTATTTGCTGTCTCTTATACACATCTAGAGGTGTATAAGAGACAGCAAATAACCCGAGGAACCCGCCGCTTTCGGATTGCGAGACATTTTTTGGACACCCTGTATGTGAAGATGTTTGTTTGCACTGTTTCTCTGCATTAAATTCTCTTCATTGGTTGCAAGATACGAGAACTATGTATGTAGAGATTTATTTCTATTCATAATCATCTCAATGAGTTAACAATAATACTGTAATAATAATATAATTAATAATTTATTATATATATAAAATTTTATAGAATAATATAATATAATAATTCTCTTCTCTCTCTAATTAATTGCAAGATACCGGAACTACATAGACACATTTTTCTTCATAATCATTTTAATTAGTAATAATACTCTAATATTTTCAAATTGTTTAAATGTTTTTGCTATTTATGACCGTATTGTGATGAATACAATTTGAAATAATAACAGCGCGTAAACTTTTCATTGTATGTGTGAAATTTCCAATTGCAAGTAAATTTTTAAACTAAGAAAAGTGAACGAAAACTAAAACTAATAAAATATCGAGATTTACAGGTACAAAGAGATGTACAAAACAATTTATTGTACAAATCAATAAACATGACATCTGGCATGCTATTATTATCGTCCATGCTAAATTGTCAATCATTCGCGATCAACCGGAAAAGAATATAACGTTTATTTAAAGAGCGGTCGAATGACTGTAGAAACGAACGTAGAAATGAGTGGGTACGAAATGTCGAGGTGTTGAGGGAATTTTCGGCTGCACTTGGGTTCGACGTATTGTAATAATTGCCGATTGGAGGGATCGCACATGTTCCTCGAATGATTTGACGGGATCACTAAAACGGGACTCCGAAGCAATGGCAACACGCTTGATGAAACTAAAGCACGTTTACTCACCTTTCTCCCAAATTATCGATTCGATGGGATATCCAGCGACTGGGCATTTGATGTGAAACTGTTTCCAAGCGACCGCCGAAACCGTGGACATGGGTCTGACGTATGGTGGGCCTGCGATTGACAAGCAAATAATACCAACATGTATTTCAAATAATTCCCGGCCGGCCCCGGGGCGGAAAGTTAACTTGTTCCCGTATTTTTATGTGCTGGCCAGGTGGAATCGATTCGGTAGCTGCGAAGGAACGGGGACGAAGACTGCCTTTTATCTTCTCTTCGCTCCAATTTGCCGCTCCCCGGGAAAATAAGAACCACCTGGCTGATGCTTTGAGAGTTTATACCGAAGTTTACGGCGCCGAACCGCGCTGGATGAAAGCATTTCTAATTTCATTCGAATCCATTTACACCGGACCGATGCTTCTTGAGAGTACCGGATACGTATTTATCGATCTCGCTTACTTAGCGCGGCGACTAAAACACGCTTAACTTGAAAATAGACATTGACATTTCCGGAATTAACCGGTGCTAGAACATTTTCCATTGAAAAACGAGAGCCGAACAGCGAAGCGGAATAACGAGGTAATCCTGCGGCTGAGATAAATCCAGGCTGTCTCTATAATTATTTTGTATAATTATAAAATGAATTCGAAATTCAGTGATTTTAATTGCACGGATGATCATTAATTCTCAACCGTGATATCTCGTGTATTACATTTTCCGAAACCGACGGGAGGAATCGTTCGTATTCAAGTTTTAGCAGCAATTTTTTTGGTTCGATCGTCGCCTCTGTCTTCGGCGCGACTGCGTTTCCCTTTTCGCGCGAACTTGAAACAACGCGGACGCGACGATGCGAATTGAAAATTGGAAAATATTTCATTAAACCAATCGTCGTGTTTCGTTCGGTAACAGCTTATTGTTCGTATCGAGTTTTCATATCTGGAACCATTCTCTTTCATTTTTCCATGTTCACGTGTACACTGCACCCTTTTTACACGGCTTCTCATTCATACGGGCTTCCCCGAAACCAATTTCCCGTGGAAAAACGGAGAATTAGGTGCGTTTTGTGTATTCATACAAAACGATACATCTTTCGGACCACGTTATTGTTTGCGAACAATATGCACAATATTGCACTTCCGCGAGTAAAACCTATGTACAGCAATATTTTTTCGTAGAAATTTGTTTCTGTTTCCGCTAAATAAACCATCAAAATTAACGAAATTTCGCCCCTTCGTCTGGCCAGTATGGAATGTTTTTTCACTTGTTCGACTGTTCTCGATTATTTCCACATGTCCGACTGTTCTCGAATATTTTCACTTGTCCGACCATTTTCGAATATTACCACTTGTCGCGTAACTACTTTTTTAAATAACAGTATCCTTTGTTAATATCTTTTTCTCGCATTATACAAGTTTACAGCTCAAATAACCTTTTACGTTCTTCGGAAAATTATTAAATAGAAAAGACTCCATCATTTGCCTTTTTTTGAAACAATGCAACTTTGGTATCAAACAATTGTCCAGGAATCGCATAACTCATCTTGATATATCAGCCTCACCCTGTATAATGCAAAATTAGATTGTTACAACAACGAAAACTGTTTTATAAAAATTAAAATATTGGATTTATTTAAATCTCATACGATTTCTAAGACCTTTTGCAGCAACATTTCTATAATATCTGCAATTGTAAAAAAGTATCATAGAACGAATCGCTGTGACTGATTCGATAGTTCTAGTGCGAACACCAGTTTTTAATTACATCTCCTATAGACCTTATCAAAACATGTGGAAATTTCAACGAATTTTCAGAGGCTACATAGTTAACTAACAATGCTTCCACCTGGGTTCCCAATGGACCGAAGCTCGCCGTTCGATAATAAAATCAAAATCCACGAAAACCCGAATTTTCGGGAGCCCGAAGGACAAGAAGCTCGTCGACCGGGCATCGTATATCTGCAACTAACTTCGCCAATATTCAGGCAGGGACTCTCTGAGCATCCTGAGGAGGCATCATCACCACAATTCTTCGCGGGCCGCGTAACAATTGCGGGAAGTTCGTCGACTCGGCGGCGGGGACGGTTTTTAATTAATAGAAACCATCTCCGCGCGGTGAGTTGCAGGATCGGGGCGGCGTTAATGACAAAGGGGGCCCCATCAAGCCGTTATTCCGGGCGATCGATCCCGTGGTAAACGTAATATTCCCCCGGGTTTCCAGTCAATTTCAATCGACACCGGTCGGCGATTCTTCTCCTTACAGTCTCACCCTCTCTTTTACTCTCTTACTCGCTTATTCTTACTCACTCTCCCTCTCTCTTGCTCTCTTACTCTATTTTAGCTTTTACTCTATTACTCTATTTTACACTTTTACTCTTTTACTCTTTTACTCTTTTACTCTTTTACTCTTTTACTCTTTTACTCTTTTACTCTTTTACTCTTTTACTCTTTTACTCTTTTACTCTTTTACTCTTTTACTCTTTTACTCTTTTACTCTTTTACTCTTTTACTCTTTTACTCTTTTACTCTTTTACTCTTTTACTCTTTTACTCTTTTACTCTTTTACTCTTTTACTCTTTTACTCTTTTACTCTTTTACTCTTTTACTCTTTTACTCTTTTACTCTTTTACTCTTTTACTCTTTTACTCTTTTACTCTTTTACTCTTTTACTCTTTTACTCTTTTACTCTTTTACTCTTTTACTCTTTTACTCTTTTACTCTTTTACTCTTTTACTCTTTTACTCTTTTACTCTTTTACTCTTTTACTCTTTTACTCTTTTACTCTTTTACTCTTTTACTCTTTTACTCTTTTACTCTTTTACTCTTTTACTCTTTTACTCTTTTACTCTTTTACTCTTTTACTCTTTTACTCTTTTACTCTTTTACTCTTTTACTCTTTTACTCTTTTACTCTTTTACTCTTTTACTCTTTTACTCTTTTACTCTTTTACTCTTTTACTCTTTTACTCTTTTACTCTTTTACTCTTTTACTCTTTTACTCTTTTACTCTTTTACTCTTTTACTCTTTTACTCTTTTACTCTTTTACTCTTTTACTCTTTTACTCTTTTACTCTTTTACTCTTTTACTCTTTTACTCTTTTACTCTTTTACTCTTTTACTCTTTTACTCTTTTACTCTTTTACTCTTTTACTCTTTTACTCTTTTACTCTTTTACTCTTTTACTCTTTTACTCTTTTACTCTTTTACTCTTTTACTATTTTACTCTATTACTCTATATTTTATTCTTTTACTCTCGATTACTCTATTTTATTTTACTCTCTTATTCTCTGATTTTTCCTCTCTTTCTCTCTCCCTCTCTCTCTCTCTCTTGCTCTCACACTATTTTACTCTTTTACTCTTTCATTCTATTACTCTTTCACTCTTTTACTCCATTACTCTATTTTACTCTATTATTCTATTTTATTCTTTTACTCTATTATTCTATTTTATTCTTTTACTCTCTTACTCTCTGTTTCCACTCGTTCTCACTCTCTCTCTTGCTCTCTTACTCTGCTTTACTCTCTCACTCTGATTCTTCCACTCTTTCTCTCTCTTGCTCTCAATCTATTTTACTTTTTTACTCCCTGATTCTCGTTCTCGCTCTCATACTCTATTACTCTATTTGACTCTTTTACTCTATTACTCTATTTTACTCTTTTACTCTCTTACTCACTCCCCCTCTCTCTCTCTCTCTCTCTCTCACCGTAAATATTGAGCCTCGCCGAGTGCCGCGCCTCGCCCGCCCGGCTGCTGGCGATGCACTCGTACTCGCCCCCATCTTCGGACTTCACCGACGAGATGTTAACGTGCGATATTACGTCCCCGTACACCGTAACGTACTGGCCAATCAGGAGCCTGTCGTTTTGCGGAAGCGGAAATCCATCCAGCAACCAGGAAATTTGCGGCGTGGGATTACCCGCGGCGCTGCATTTCAGGGAAACCGATGGACCGATCTGCATTGTCTGTTCGATAAACCTGTAGACCAGCTGCGGCGCGATCTCTGTTAACAGAAATTGCAGTAACATTTAATGTTCTAAGCACGGCTCGCAGGAGTCCTTCCCGACGCGATTAGAGTAACGAGAAATAATTCGCGCGCAGTCCAAACGCTAACGCAATAACTGTAATTACATGTGTAACAATATATAACAATGAACTCGATAATAAAGAAAATGATAAGGAAATAGTACCAAAAAGGCTATAAAAATAACGATAACTGTAATTAAATGTGTAACAGTATATAACAATGAACTCGATAATAAAGAAAATGATAACGAAATAGTACCAAAAAGGCTATAAAAATAACAATGACTGTAATTAAATGTGTAACAACATATAACGATAAACTCGACAATAAAGAAAATAATAACGAAATAATACCGAAAAGGCTATAACAATAACAGTAACTGTTATTAAGTTACAATAACAGTAACTGTTATTAAGTTACAATAACAGTAACTGTTATTAAGTTACAATAACAGTAACTGTTATTAAGTTACAATAACAGTAACTGTAATTAAATGTAGATTCTCTGAATCATAATTGTAGAAAATGATGAACCATTTCACATTTGAGATTGTATCGAGCCTGGTCGCATAAGCGATAATCGTGATCAGAATATCTCGTCTAAATAATCCCCCATTTCTGTCTAATCAAATATTGTGTTTACGAAGGATACCATAATAGGTGCGGAGAATTTCTCCGCTGGGCCCGGTACATAAAAGAAAGCAATAAAGTTCTCGTAAACATATGTCAACCGAGTTGTAGACGCTCCCGCGTTGTATCACTTGTTTCCCTGTTTTCCCAGAAATTGTACAAAGTGTGTACTATCGTAGCGAACACATGCCAGACGCAGCTACTTCAGTTTGAATTCGCTGGAAACTTTCTTTCGCATGTTGCCCGGAGTATGTCAGCGTTATCTACTGCCACGCGGTCAGTCGAAGAGTTCAAGCGACTGCTGAAACTCGAACGCGGCTCCAGAAAAGGAACGGATCATCTCGGCGATTCGTTTCAACGAACGCTGCTGCTAATTACCGTGCTTTCATCGCCACCGAAGTTGCGCTCAGATTCTGTTAAATATACATTTTACAGTGGGCCCGCTTCGTTCGAATCGTCCTGCTGGCGATTTCTGCTCTAACGGTGGATGCTCTGGATACTGCTGTATTTAATTGAAATAAATAATTGCCAGTGAAACAGTTTCAATCGTAAAATTCAATTGTTTGTTCGAACAAAATATTAACGATTGTTGATGTTAGTTGTACCTTGCCGGAATGTTCGAAACATTTCTATCGATTTTAACTCCCTGAAATTCATCGTCCAAAAATTGAAATATGTGTACTTGATAGTTATCAAGTTTGCTTAATTAATCCGGTTTTTACCTCTGCCCTTACCAAGTCGAGTGCACTGACTTTTCTACGAAATTATAGTCTATATTTGTCGCAGAAACATTTCATGTCCTCTGTCGAGAGCTACTTCTTTCTTTCGCCGAACTGCCTGACCAATGGCAGACTTATTCCACTAGAGCCGACGAAACAATAGTTTCGACATTTCGGCCACCGGAGGGGTTCCCGTAATCAGGTCAGAGTAGAATGCAGGCTTTATTGTTCACAATACTATTCTTGGTTTCGACAAGCATTCGAATCCGAACCGCAGAGCATGCCAAAGATGTGATTGAATTTCATCGTATCGAAACAAACACCGAATTGCCGTGTACTTAGCCGCGAAGTCAATCGGGCCGGTATTTCAAATGCTATTTCTCCGCTGCGCGATATCTTTGGGCTCCTAATTTCGTTAGCTGTAAATAGCATTTATAGGGAAATACAGCGGTGTACTCGAACGGTGCCGGAATCGTGCTCCTTAGAGTATGATTCAGTGAATGTGTTCCGCGTCGTGCAGATTAATTCTCAACATTTGGAAACGAAGTCTGTCCGGAATCTTGTGCACGTGCACTCCTAAATCGTTCCAATCGGCAATCATAACTGAGTTGCGCAGAATTACAGTTTAGCTACTCGAGGAATTATAATTACAAAGTATTCGGATCGCAAAGTAATTCGGTTACGAAGCAATTCAATTACAAAGCTATTCATTTATAAAGAAATTCAATTACAAGGCGATTCATTTAGAAAACAATTCAATTACAAAGAAATTCAATTACAAGGCAATTCATTTACAAAGCAATTCCATTACAAAGTAATTGAATTACAAAGCAATTCATTTACAAAATAATTCAATTGCAAAGNTCAATCGGGCCGGTATTTCAAATGCTATTTCTCCGCTGCGCGATATCTTTGGGCTCCTAATTTCGTTAGCTGTAAATAGCATTTATAGGGAAATACAGCGGTGTACTCGAACGGTGCCGGAATCGTGCTCCTTAGAGTATGATTCAGTGAATGTGTTCCGCGTCGTGCAGATTAATTCTCAACATTTGGAAACGAAGTCTGTCCGGAATCTTGTGCACGTGCACTCCTAAATCGTTCCAATCGGCAATCATAACTGAGTTGCGCAGAATTACAGTTTAGCTACTCGAGGAATTATAATTACAAAGTATTCGGATCGCAAAGTAATTCGGTTACGAAGCAATTCAATTACAAAGCTATTCATTTATAAAGAAATTCAATTACAAGGCGATTCATTTAGAAAACAATTCAATTACAAAGAAATTCAATTACAAGGCAATTCATTTACAAAGCAATTCCATTACAAAGTAATTGAATTACAAAGCAATTCATTTACAAAATAATTCAATTGCAAAGCAATTCATTTACAAAATAATTCAATTGCAAAGCAATTCATTTACAAAGCAATTCAATTGCAAAGCAATTCATTTCCAAAATAATTCAATTACTAAGCAATTCAATTATAAATCAATTAAATTGCAAATCAATTCATTTACAAAGTAATTCAATTACTAAGCAATTCAATTACAAATCAATTAAATTGCAAATCAATTAATTTACAAAGTAATCCAATTACTAAGCAATTCAATTACAAAAAATAATTTATAAAGTAATTCAATTACAAAGAAATTAATTTATAAATCAATTCAATTACAAAGCAATCCAATTACGAAGCAATTCAATTACAAAGCTATCCAATTACAAAGCAATCCAATTACGAAGCGATTAAATCTCGATATAATTCAATTACATTATAATTCATTCACATCGTGATTTTTGTGATTCAGACCTCCATTCAATTAAATTAAATTTTGAATATCCGGTTGAGATCTACTCGGCCAGAGTTCGAGCATACTTGGATGTGCTGACTCGGTTCGAGTCTATTTCAAAGTATTGCTTTCCTTTTTCTTGTAATACAATCGATCCCATCCCCGATCACTGCTAGTCGAGTACATTTCCATCGTCCAACCTCGGCAGATAACACGGTTCAGCATTGTTCACGGTTCATAAAAGTTCTTTCGAAACGGGCGGCATAATTGAAATTCTGCGAACGACTACACGCCGTAAAAGCTTCATGCAGCCTATATCAAAACCGTAAAATATACGGTCCCACTTAATCGTAAAACGTGGAGAGTTAGTCAAGACTACCGGTGGTTCGCGATGTAGATCCCTTTAGAAGGGAACACTTGCAGGATCGAAGATTAATGGCTCGAGAAAGATATATAGATCGTTCAAACGTTAACGTTAACCCGTTAACCGGGGAATTAGCTTTTTTTTCAACTCGCTACACAATCAGGCTTTTTTCCTTCCCACTAGAAAGTTATATTATCGTGTTTAAAGTAATACAAAAAATCGCTTTTCACTTGTTCATTGTTTATTTCGATAAAATATTTTACGATCTATTCAGAAATTATAGAATCACGAAATATATTTATTTATTTTACTATTATATTTATTTTACTCAATTTATTTAATTAACGTACATTGGAAATATTTTGTCGAAATGAATAACGAACAAGTGAAAAGCGTTTTTTTTTAAATTTCAAAATACTCTTAGTTTATTATACATAAAAAACGATGTAGCGTTGTTTGAAACTAAACTGTGCAAATTCGAAGAACGTCGTAAAGTGTAATGTAAAATGTAATCCACATATTACTTCGAAAATTGGACTCGTTTTCCTGAAATATTTCGCCACATCTGGTTGACAGTTTTATGCTCGGAAATTCTACTTTAATTGACCTGAAAATGCACAGGTCCGATGGAGAATCAATCGCCACTTGCATATCTCTGTTATTTTTGACGATATGCAGAAATTGTTCGGTCATAATTTTTGTAAGCAGAACTGCAACGATTCTTCTTGCAGCTGGACAAGTTTCACAGATTTCATGAAAGAGTATTTTAAAGCTGACAATTTTCCAGTTTTAGATTGACCAGCATCGATCTCCAGACCGAGTATTATATAATATAATATTAAGGATTTAAATATTTAAGGATTTAAGGATTTCTTGTCACTTTCTGCAGAATTTACGAAAATAAACGTAATAATGAACGATTTTGCTTCACGCGAAATGCATTTCAATGAAGTATTATATTAAGTTCCTACATTAATAGTTTCCTAGGTGGCTTATAATTTTATCCACCAGCGTAGAATCGATACTTTAGATAAACTAAACTATCAAAAAATATATTATTCGATTTAAAAATGTCCTGTGAAGTATTTCTGTCGCAAGATCTGTAACATTCTGCATAATACAGATTCTGCGATAAAGTACTTTCAAATCTTCCAAGTTAACGAAGACATCGAAGTGCTAAATTCTACGCGGATCATCCTGTATATCGCCGCGGATTCGTCCGGTAGCTTTTTCCTCATAATCCGCAGCCACGATGCCGGCACGAATGGAGAGCGCGGCGTTTCAGCGGCGACGGAGCCGCGAAGATAAACCGGTTGTCGTCGAATTACGCGATATCCCTTTTCATTAAGTGGACTTTAACGGCCAAAGGGACTTTGTACTAAATAATTGGCCGGACGATTAATGGATCCCGGGGATTAAGTGCGGCCCGGCCTAACGAAGAAACATTGAAAATAACCGCGGCGCTTTCGCGGGC